CTTCCTCAGGAGTAACTGAGTGCTCGGTAAATGTGTGCGGGACCTCAGTCTCCCTTCTGTTGTAGGATCTCATCTGTCCACCCCATCCATCCCAATCTTGCATCCCCATCAAAGTGCACGCGTTTGTATTGTGACATTCAGCTTTCCTGGGCCGCACTCCACCTTGTCAGATACACGGCATTATATCCTTACACTGGTAGGTATATTTACTCATGGATACAGAGAAGAAAAGGGGACGAGGTTTGTAAACAGCCGACCCAGAAAGGTTATGAATTCGCAGCTCTTGATAGGAAGCGATTGAATACCTTGACTTTTCTGCGGCTGCTTCCTCCTGGACTTCTGCTGGTCGCTGCCAAGTGGAATGGCCTGCGCCATCAGGGCATCTGTTTGTCAAGTAGAGAGTTCTGCTGCTCCCCCCACTTTCTTTACGGGCTCCCTGCTTGTCTGGGCAGATGTCCAAAGACACATTTTCCTTGTTACTTCCGCCCCTTCATACCGCTTTGAAAGTGACAATATATAAATATTACTTTTCAAAAATTAGGCTGTTTTTTTTGGGGGGGGTCGGGAGCCTTTCTGTATAACTTTATTAGAAAGAATGTGTGTGGCAAAGTGGTGTTTTTAGTTTTTATTCAGATAGTCCCTGGAGTCTGAGTTGTTCAAAAGTTGTCTTTCAAACACAAGAGGACAGAAAGCAGTCTTCTGCATATAGTCAGAAATAAATCCGGCTTAGGTAAACGGGACAATGCGGTTCAGTGCGGATAGGAGTCGAAAGTGCAGCTTTATGGACTGAATCTTGGTCATCTGAAGCTTACTTCCGAGTAAACTGGCCGAGGATCACGTGAAAGGAGAATGCCCGGAGTTTGCTCCGGGGACCGGAAGAGGGAAAGCAAAGAAGAACGCACATGTACGAATCTCGCCTTGTTCTCTGTGCCCGGGTCTCTCCGAAAGGCGCACCACTCTTCTCCGGAAGACAAAGACTGTGTTGTCTCCGGAGTTCAGGCTAACCCGAGAGCCTCCAGGCCCCAGCAGCCCCATTTTTAGCACTCATGAAAAGGGCTCCGGGCCTTTCCTGGTTGATTTAGGAGACCACTTTTTGGCCAAGTTGAAATCACAACTGGACCCGGTAGACGGAGGGGAGGGGGAGATCGTTGCGTTATTGCACCTCTCGCCCTCCCAGCTCTGGTGGGATTCCTGCTCCAAAAACCAACCAGCTCGGCCTGCTTTCTAGCCCACCAACTGTCAGGATGCGTCTCCTCACCGCTGAACGGAGAGTGAAAGGGACAGAAGGCCAGCCTACCTGACAAGCCCTGCTCTGGATAGCCCAGGCTAGCCCGATCTTGGGAACTTAGCAGGGTCGGCCCAGAGGAGTACTTGGGTGGGAGACCACCAGGAAAAGTCCAGGGTCGCCAGGCAGGTAGTGGCCAGCCACTTTTGTTCCTGTCCTGCCTGGAAACCCTACAGGGTCGCCGCTAATCGGCTGCGACTCGACGACATTTACCACCAGCACCCCTAACTAGCCAAGGCTGACAAGGCGATGCCTGCACACGCTCTTTCAGAAGTGCAGTCACAGCCGTGTTCCAGGGGGTTCACACTATGCGGTACGTGTGCACAGGAGGGCAGAGTCTTCCTTCCCGTCCTTTGGGACTGAGGGCAACGCGTGTCTTGGCTTCGACCCTTTCCTTGCCTCTGTCGCCCTGGAAAGAGGCCTTCTGGTCGGCCCTGCCTCTCCCCTCCCCCACCCGGAACCAGCCCAAGAGGAGGGAAGCCTCTTGAAATTTGGGAAGGCAGAGAGATCCTAGACATCGGCTCGTCCGTGGCTCTCACCCGCCTGGCGCCAGGCGCTCTTAGCCATGTGCGTCAAAAATGCCATGTTCGAGGAGCTAATCGCGTTAGATGTTCCGCTCCTATCTCTCTCGCCTGCCTTGCAAGGCCCCGAGACGGCTCTCTCTTCTTACACACAGGCCGCCCCTGCCTCCCTCCGCTTCCAACACAGACCCCTTTATCTCTGACAGGAAGCGGAGAGGAGCAAACGGAGAGGGAGACTCGCCCTCCGCCAGGCCCAGCGCCACCAGAAGTCCTAGGCATCACCCCCGTATGCATTTCACGTTCGCACAAGTCGTCTGCGCGCAGGCCGGCCCTCCCGTCCCCCCCCCCCCCCCCCCCCCCCCCGGCTCGGAGGGGTCTGATTCTGGTGCAGCCGGTCTGTCTGGTGGCGCTTTGAAGACTAACAGATTCGCCGTGTCCCGCTTCCCCGGAGGCAGGAAGCGAACCTTCGTTGCTCGGCTTCAATGTTGCCTTTATTTACAAATGACTCTAACGGAGGCCGAGAGACACAAGGCAGCAAGGGAAGAGCGACCCCACCCGCCCCACCACTTCCAGTGAGCGAGCGAGCGAGCGAGCGAGAGATGTGTCTCAACCTGCAATCTTCGGCCAATGCAGAGCCTGCTGTCTCCTTCAAAGGTTGTGTGTGCTGGGGTGGTCATACATACAATTCATGCATCTGATGAAGTGGACACATGAATTTAAACTGCCTTCTCTCCCGCCCCCCCCCCCCCCCCCCGGCGGGGCGCTCACCGCAACTGGCTGGGAAGCAGGGAAGGAGTCCAGCAAGTGTCCCTGATACCAGCGCGATCCACACTCTCACAGCAATACAGTCACATCACAAATAGTCTCACTGGGGCAAGACCTGGAGCCGATCGCTAGATCTGAACATCCGGAAAGAGCCCGGAGAATTCATGACCATCTCTACGCACCCAGGACACCTGAACACGATACCCGTTTGCACACGTGCTTTTTGCGCCTCCCTGTGTATTGCCAGCTTCCAGGCAGATCAGACCGGATCCAGCTCCCTAAAATAACCTGGCGGAGAAGTAGGCGGTGGGAGGAGATCCAGGAGAGGAGGTTGGGTCTGTGTTTGGGGGAAAGCTCTGCTCCTCACATTCTGGCCCCTTGGGCATTAAGGAGGACCGGACAAGGGGAGATTGCCCCAAGCGGCCTTTCGACGCCTCTAGCTCCCCCCCCCAAAAAAAACCCAGGTCCCCGAACGCCTAGCTTCTAGTCCTGGCCCCAGGAAAAGAGAGGTGTGGATTAACAGTTGGGCTGGAGTGTAACTCATTAGGCGCCGGGGCAGAGTGCGATAACTCCCCCCCCCAGAAAAAAACCCCTCCCTCCCTCTTCAGCGTTTTCTCCCCTCCCCCTCCCTTTTCTCTCAAGCCCCTTCTTCCTCTGAGAACGCAGACAAGGACAGACAGCGGGATTTCACAGTGTGCTTTTCAAACGCTCTAAACAAACAAACAGACGGCAAGGAGGCACCTCTGATCCCAGAGCCGATTAAGAACGCCGAGAAGAAAGAATACAGCAGGGCGAAGGAAGGAGACTGCAGGCCCCAGGCGGGTCATAAAGGCGATCCTGGAGGAAGATAGCCTGGACCCCCCCTCCCCTCCCTTCCCTTTACCCGGCAAGTTGCAACAACCCAGCCCTTCGCCCTTTCTCCAAACAAGTGAGAAGGGCGGGGGTGGGTGGGAGATAAGGGAGACAGCTTTGGTGACGGGGGAGGGAGAGGACTGAGATGGGAGGGGGTGTTTGAGACCCTGGGAGAGCCATGCAGGGAACGAGACACACACAGAGATTCTCCGAATCCGCAAGTCCGTCCAACAGCATAGTCCTAAATATAGGATGCGTAAATGCACATCTCCGTGGATGCGGATTATTTGCAGCCGCCCAGCTGAGAGGTGTCATACATTCCGGGATAATTGTGCCGTCGTTAATGACGCCTTCTGCGGTGGTTATCTATCTCCCTATCTGCATAAGACAGTAAGAACCCCCCCAGCCTGGACCGGATCAAAGGTCCGCCTTATCTAGGATTCTGTTTCTCACAGTGGCTTAGCAGATGCCTCCCGGAAACCTACAGGCAGGATTCCCAACTTTGACCCCAGCGATTCAGGGGTGCACTGCTAACAGCCATGGATCTATTCCCCCGCGAATTTCTGCAGCCATCTGATTGCTCCTTTCACCTGCCTACCTATACCGTCCAATCCCTTGAGCAATTGCTGAGGTTTGGGAAAATCAGGGATTCTTGCCGGGGGTCCATCTGCCAACCCCCCCACCCTTTAACCGGCATCTAAAGCACATCTGACGCGTTGATTGCAGTTAAAACACGAGCCCCCTTCCCCCCCTCCCCAAATACTCACGCAGACCGGTGGCAACGTGCGTGTGTGCGTGTTCCTCCAGCCCCTGCTCCCCCGCTTCTGCAACCTCCTCGAATAAAGCAAGAGGAGCGGAATGTGTGTGTGTATGAATGGGGGCGGGGGGGACCCTGGTTGGAACCGATGGAGAAGACAGAAACGGCCTCCAAGCCTGAGATTTCCAGGGGAGAGAGATTTGGAAATGTATGTTTGTCTGTGTGTGTGTGTATGGGGGGGGGCGGTACGCTGTGCACCGGGAGGGGGAGCCGGGGAGGGAGCCGATCGACGTCCTCCCCCCTGTCTCTTAACCTCGACCGCTCTGGATGCCTCCCCCTCCCACCCCTTACCCCGGGTACTTTTATCTTCCCCTGCCAATGAACGGAGAGAGCGAGAGAAGGCGATGAAATGAAAACCCAGCCCAGAGAGGCTGTTGATAAGTCCAAATTGAAAATGACCCAAGCCGGGTCAGCGAGAGAGAAAGCGAACCGGATTCCCCCACCTCCTTCCTCGGCTTCTTGGCTGGCGCTCCGGAGCTGGAGCTTGGCTGCGGCGCGGGCCA